CTTTTTACCCATTTTTTATTCACTTGTTTGCCACCTCATTTATTATTGAATTATACAAATTCTTTACATATTGTAGGGGCAAGTCCTTTGTTGGACATATGTTTGCAAATATTTTTTCCTATCTTTGGCTTGCCTCTTTTTTCATAATGCTGTCTTCTGAAGAGCAAAATGTTTGTTTGTTTGTTTGTTTGTTTGTTTGTTTTATCCTCACCCGAGGACATTTTTCCATTTTTTGTTCAGATAGAGTGGGAGGGAGGGAGAGGAAGAGAGAGAGAGAGAAACATCGACGTGAAAGGGACACATCGAGTGGCTGCCACCTGCACGACCCACCAGGGCCGGGGACAAACTACAACCGAGGCACGTGCCCTTAGCGGGAACCGAACCTGGGTCTCTCTGGACCGCAGGCTGATGCTCTAACCGCTGAGCCAAACTGGCCAGGGCGAGCAAAAGGTTTTTAAAAAAATTTTATAAGGTCCCATTGGTTGATCCCCCACCCCCGACATTTTGTGCTTTTTGTGTTGTATTTAAGAAATCTTTGCCAAATCTAAGATCACTAAGATTGTAATTTGCTTTATAGAATAAATCAAATAGGTTTAGTTTTAGTGAGTTCCGTAATCCCTTTCTGCGCTGAGGACTGAAAGATGACTAGGTTGGCAAAGGGGCCAGAGAAGGCATTTTAGGCCCGAGGGACCACCCAAGCAAAGACCCAGAAGGCTGGGCACCTTAATAGTTGAGGGAGGGAGTGTAAGGGATCTAGTGGGGTGAGATCCTCCTGCTGGTAAAGTGGTCAGGCTAAAGAGCTTGCACCTTATCCCAAGGGCAATGGGGAGCTACTGAAGGCTGTTGACCAAAGAGGTGGTGCAGTCACCTCAGTTGCCTTATCTGCCAAATTGGGGGCAAGAGGAGGAGTAAAGGAGGTAAAGAATGGAAAGGTGTTCCCCCAGCCAGCAGGCCTTCTCCTATTCTTTCTTGGCTCCCAGCCCTCCCAGGAGGCTCCTGATCAACAGCCAGTATTAAATGTTGGTTAACCTTTCCTGGTGACTGTTTGTCTTCTTTCAGGAGCTCTTTTATTAGGAATATTCATCTTCTGTCTGTTACATACATGACAGACAGTTTTTCCTGGTCTGTCGTGGGGTTTCAACATTGCTTACAGCCTAGACAGCTTCCGTGTCCAGTAGGGGGATGTGTTTTCTGACGTGGGCTTGTCTGCCTTGCTGAGGAAGGCTGTCTCCATTTAGGCTGCGTGTCGCCACTGGGGGCCCTGCCCTGCTGGGTCAAACGCATGTCCTCAAGGGTCTGTGTGGGGCATGGGTGGGGTCAGGAAACCCTGTGTAACCTTGTTTATTGGGGGGTGCTCTCTGCTTGAAGATACCCAGGAGAGGGGGGATGTCTCTCTATTTTCCTGGGACACTGTCCAGACTCCCCTGTGCAAGTCTGACCTTACCTGGGGCCTCTCCTCTGCTTTTCACAATTAGAATCTCAGGAGCCACAGCTCTGGCCCCTCCTTGCAGCCCAAACCACTTCTATATTTTCCAGGCTGCAGGCGGTGCCGCAGGAGTGCTGAGTCGAGATTTCCTCATTCCCCTCGTGCAGCTGCATTTCTGCTGTGTCATGGTTGGGAGGGGGGACTTGCGCAGACAGATGGCAGGCGGGTTTTGCTGAGTCACCAGCTGCTTCCTCAGCCTCCCCGGTGAGTGAAAGGGCAGCTTTCAAGGCAGGCAGGAGGAAGCGAAACTAGAAAAGGACAAAAGCCTCCTATTTATCACATTGTTTGCAAAGCCCCATCCCATACATCTCGAAATTGGTTTGTCCAACACTGCGCCACGGAGCTTCCCCCATCCAGTAAACTGGCAACTCTGTCTTCCCAGTTGGTTGAACCCAAAACTGTGGAGTTATCCTTGCCTGCAAATGTCTCTCACACTCACTCCCTAGTTTGAAATCCTTCTTCTTTTTTAAAAAAATCCTCACCCAAGGATATTTTTCCATTTATCTTCAGATAGAGTGGGAGAGAAAGAGAGAGAGATACATCGTTGTGAAAGAGACACACCCACAGGACCCCGACCAGGGCCGGAACCGAACTGCAACTGAGGTACGTGCCCTTGACCGGAATGGAACCCGCAGCTCTTCTATCCGTGGTCCGACCCTATAACTGCTGAGCCAAACCAGCCAGGGCTATTTTGAAATTCTCGATGCCTCTGCCTTTAACATACGGCTATCCTAGGCCACTTCTCATCCCATCTGTCTAAGCCACCATCATCTCTCCCCTGGATCACCGCAGTCGGTGGCCTCCTGCCCTTGGCCTTCCTCAGTGCAGCCGTGCCATTGATCCCAGCAGAACTGAAGCACTATCCCATCACTCCCTTCCAAACCCTGCAGTCTCCCTACTCACAGAAGGTCCTTGACACAGCCTGCGGGCCCTCATCTCCCACCTGTCCTCTCCCTCCCTCTGCTCTGGCCACACTGACCTCCACGCTGCTGTCACATTTGTCCCACCTGGGGGCCTTTAAAGGGGGGGGGCAAAACAATGCTCCTCCCACACCTCCCAGCCTGTGAGGTCTGCCCTGCGCTGACTGATTTAACACTGCAGTCACGGAGTCCTTGTCACACTTCCCATCTGACTTCTCCTGCCACGTTTCTTGGGCCTCTGCCAGAGAAAGTTCTGTACTTTTCTGTACTTTTAAGGACTCATGTGATTAGCCTGGGCCGACCCAGAAAATCCAGGGTGTATTTCCTAGTTTATTTTATTTTAAAAGTTTTTTTTTCACTATTGATTTTAGAGAGAGAGGAAGGGAGAGGGAGAGATAGAAACATCGATGAAAGACAACATCGATTGGCCATTTCCTGCATGCCCCCACTGGGGATTTGGCCCACAACCTGGGCATGTGTCCTGACTGGGAATCAAACCGGCGACCTCTTGGTGCATGGGTCGAGGATCAACCACTGAGCCACACTGGCCGGGCTGTCCTGCCGATTTTAAAGTCTGTAACCTTGCCCTGGCCGATGTGGCTCAGCAGTTGGAGTGTTGGCCTTCAGACCAAAGAGTCTCGGGTTCGATTCCAGTCAAGGGCATGTACCTCGTTTGTGGCTCGATCCCTGGCCCTGGTCGGGGTCATTCGGGAGGCAGTCAGTCGATGTGTCTCTCTCACGTTGATGTTTCTCTCTCCCTCCCTCCCACTCTATCTGAAGAGAAATGGAAAAATATCCTCAGGTGAGGATTTAAATAAATACATAAATAAAGTCTGTAACCTTGAATTCATCCGCAAAACCTAATTCACCTATTCAATGTTAATATAACATATTCACAGGTCCAGGTATTAGCACATGGACAGCTCTGCGGGGCCATGATTCTGTCCATCACGGATAAACTCCCACCTCTTGGTTTGATGAGGATGAAATGAAACCATGCTTGGAAGAATGCTGGTTCAGAGCAGACCTCCACCCACATTTGTCTTCTGTGCCCCCTGTCCCCTTACTGGATCATTTTCCCTACTTCCAGACAGCCTCCATTAGGATCCTGAACACGCATGTTCTGTCAAGATGGCTTCTAGCCTCTTCAACTTTGTATCTCCAGTGCTCATAAAATTAAAAAACACTGGCCCACAGCAGTGCTATTTACCATAGCCAAGATCTGGAAACAGCCCAACTGCCCATCAGGAGATGAGTGGATAAAAAAAGCTGTGGTAGCCCTGGCCGGTTTGGCTCAGCAGTTAGAGCGTCGGCCTGCGGTCCTGAGAGACCCGGGTTCGGTTCCCCCTAAGGGCACGTACCTCGGTTGCAGTTTGTCCCCGGCCCTGGTCGGTCGTGCGGGTGGCAGCCACTTGATGTGTTCCTTTCACATCGATGTTTCTCTCTCTCTCTTTCTCTCTCTCTCTCTCTCTGTTCCTCTCTCTCCCTCCCACTCTATTTGAACAAAAAATGGAAAAATGTCCTCGGGTGAGGATAAAAAAAAAAGCTGTGGTATATTTACACAATGGAATACTACAGGTGTGTAAAAAAGAAGGAACTCTTGCCCTGGCTGGTTTGGCTCAGATGTTGGAGCATTGACCTGCCGAACAAAGAGTCGCAGGTTCGATTCCGGGCAAAGGCTTTCTGTTTTTCTTGGCTGGTGGCCCCTAACTCCATCTTCAAAGCCAGCAGCGGAGCATCTTCTAGTCTCTGGCTCTGTCCTCTGCGTCCCTGTCATACCCCTTTCTGTATCTGTAACCTGTAGCTTCCCTCTTAAAGGACTTCTGTGGTTACACTGGGCTCACCTGGACAATCCAGTCTATACTCCTCTCAAGACTGTTAATTTCCTCACATCTGCAAAATCCCTTTTGCCCTGTAAGGTACCCTAGTCACAGGTTCTGGGGATCAGGATGTGGAAACCTTGGGGGGGGGCATTTAGCCCATCCCAGGAGAAGACCATCTGGACCATCCCCATTGCTTGAGGACAGGGAAGGGGAAGTCAGGAAGCTGAATCTGCAGGCTCAACGGTGGGGCAGCGAGAGAACCAGACCAGCTCTGCCCTGGCTGCCCCTGCCCTGGAACGGTTCGAGGTGCGAGGGTGTCTACACCAGCCGAGTCCGGGGCTTCCAGTGGAATGAGGGCTGGGAACCCTTGGTCACTGAAGGCTCTCATGTTGCCCACCAGCCTCCATCTGTGCTAAGTGCTTCCTCCCAGTTCTCTGGAACCCCCACACTCCTGGGGTGCCTCAAGTCCCATCACTGGCGTGGGCGGGGGGGGGGTGTTTGGAAGGGGCAAAATCACAGACAGCTGCTCAGATTTCCAGAAAGTTTTTTTTAACGTTGTGTTTCAACAGGCTTTGTTTTCCAAGGCTCATGTGACCGCTTCCCCTCCACCCCGCAGGCCAGGGGCGTGGGCGGGGCGGGGCGGGCTGGCCTGGGTGTTGCAATGTCGCGCCGGAAAGTTGGGATCAGCTGTTGGGCGGCAGCCACGTGACCCACCTCGCGGATAAATGCACAGCCGCGACCCGCTCGGCAGTCACTCGTCCGCCTCCTTCCGCCGGTCTCCAGACGTCCGAGCCAGCCCGGAGCCCGCACCGAGCAGCCGGCACCGTCCGAGCCAGCCCGGAGCCCACACCGAGCAGCCGGCACCGTCCGAGCCAGCCCGGAGCCCGCCCGGAGCCCACACCGAGCAACCGGCACCGTCCGAGCCAGCCCGGAGCCCGCACCGAGCAGCCTGCACCGTCCGAGCCCGCCCGGAGCCCGCACCCAGCAGCCGGCACCGTCCGAGCCAGCCCGGAGCCCGCACCCAGCAGCCGGCACCGTCCGAGCAGCCCAGCGCCGGCCAGATGGAGCGTCCGCAGCCCGACAGGCAAGCACCGGGCGGCGGGGCGGGCGACGCGGGGACCTGCCTTCCGACCGGCGGCCAGCCCGGAAGCCAGGTCGCTGAGCCGCCGGTCACTTGGGCTTGGGAGTGAGGAGGGGCTGGGTTGGCTGGAGGGATGAAAGGTGACTTACTTGCCTGGCTGCCTGGCACGGAGGTGGGGGACCTATGGGAGCGTTGCTATGGTACCCTACCTTGTTTGGGGTATTGGACTTCTGAGTGTGCTTGCAGTGCCCTCTGCTTAATCCAGGATCCCCCCGGCTGGTGGAGGCTGGGTGTGTGGTTCTTTCCAGAGCCCACTCTTGGCCGAGTCCATCTCTCACCAGCTGTCAAGAACGACATCGTAGTGGCTGCTGTGTCCCGATTTTACCGACGAGGGGAGCAGCAAGCCCAGGGTCACTCAGCTAGCAGGTGTCAGAGCTGGGATTGGAACCTTGGTTATCTGTCCATGTCCAAATCTGGCTCCTTCCCTCCTCCCAAGAATTTGATCTGCATGCAGAGAACAGGGGATGGTGTTGGAAGGGGCGCCCTGGGAGAGAAGGGAGAAATGACAGTTCTGTAGGAGGTGGATACGGACTGAAATACTGTGCGGCAGAGATGCCACCAGAAAGAAACTTTTTCTTTGCGTCAAGCACAGCTTTACTCAGGCATTTAAACACAAATGCTTTTATAGTGAGTATATCACAGGGGCTCATGAGGTTTGTACCTGAAACCTCAACAGAATAAATGAATTAAATCTTAGGTCTAAAAGCCCATCCATGCAATTAGGCATGGAGTATAAATGCTCACCCTGCCCTGAGCTGCTGCTCTCTGGGCTGTGCTGCCTCCTCTTCCCCTTCATTAGAATAACTGGTACCAGGATTTCCCCTCTTGGTTTTGGGGACCGTAATACAATGTTTTTTACTGACTGAAGAATGTTGATGGGCTTGCATCTTTAAAAAAAATTATTTTTTACAATTTTTAAATTTATTGAGTTTACAGAGAGAGGAAGGGAGAGAGAGAGAAGCATCGACTTGTTCCGTTTATTTACACATTCATTGGTTGAGAATTGTATGGGCATGTCTGGGCGACACTAACCCACTGAGCTACCCGGCCAGGGCGAGGGGCCTGCATCTTCAGGCAGGAGGTTCAGGTTGGGAACGTGGCCTGTGTATTAGATGGGAGGCTGGACTTGTTTCTGTGGAGAAGCCTAAGAAAGCCAACTCTCTTGAAGGCCTGCCACAGTCTCAGCTTTTGGAACAACCCTGCTCATAGCCACCCCTTATTCACCCTCCCTGTCCTCCCCCTGCAGCATGCCCCAGGATTTGTCAGAGGCCCTGAAGGATGCAACCAAGGAGGTGCACACCCAGGCGGAGAATGCCGAGTTCATGAGGAACTTTCAGAAGGGCCAGGTGACTCGAGAAGGCTTTAAGGTATGTGGCCTGGTGGGACCAGCCCTGGTGGAGGTTATGACAGGTGTGGGTATGCCCAAGGCTCAGTGGGGACTGGGACCAGGGATGCTGAGGGACCAGAGGGGAATGGCTGAGAGAATCATTGTACAGATGATGACATTGAGGCTCAGAGAGGGGAGGTGACTTACCCAAGGTCACACAGCAAATTCATAGCTTGCTATATAGTATTGTAGAGGGACTGGGACAGTAATACCGTCAACTGAGCACCTCTTTCAAGCTGGGAGTTATACACACACTTGATATCTAATTTGTGCCTCAACACTGAAAAGGAAGATGAGGAAGGGAAGGCTCAGAGAGGTTAAGTAACTAACAAGGTCACACAGCCAGTAAGTAAATGGGAAAGGCCAAAACACAACCAAGGCTGGTCTCATTTCAGAGCTTGTGCTTAATTCTAATCTGTCTCTGTACGCGAGGGACATGTGGGTTCGAGCCCTGGCTCAACCACTTCCTAACAGTAGGGCTGTGGACACGTCATCTTACCTCCTCCCTAAGGTAGCTTTTCCCTCAGAGAAGTGGGATTTGAACACAGGATCTTCTTAAGCATTTGCTTTAAGCTAGACGCTGACTTTGCTGTTTCCCAGCATGGTTGTGAAATTCATGCAAATCGAAGGGAAGCACTTGACAAAGAACCGGACAAGTGCCTAGTGTTAAAACATCAGCGCTGGGAAAGCCTTGTTCGGGTTGAACAGAGAGGGTGGCGGCGCTTTATCCCACCACTCCTGACACCTCCCCCTTTTGCATTCTGGGCCTTCCCCCACTTCCAACCTGAGAGGTGTTCAAAGCAGTTCTAGGGGGGTTGGGGCCCTTGGCTTCATTCTGTGGGTGCTGGCTCTAGCCCTTGCTCCCTCTTCCTCACGTTCTCCTTCCCCCTCAAAATGACAACTTATACCCAGTTGCTGTTATGTGGCTGGGGCAGTGGGAGCAGGGAGGTGGCCGCTGGAATAGCCCATCTGCAGCCACCAGAGCTGTGGATCTTACCTCTAAGCCACTGAGTTCACAGTGGGCACAGAGGTCCACGAGAGGACCTAGTGCTCAGACTGCTCTGAAGGAGGCGGCATTCATCACCCTGGCCTCGGGTTTGAGTGCTGTGCCAGGCTGCACCTGCGTCATCCTGATTGAGCGTCACACCATCCTGTGTAGGGTTATTCCCTTTGCAGGGGTGGGGACCAGCCACTCAGACCTCAGATTGCCCAGAGAGGGAGCGTGACTCCCCCGTGGTCACACAGCTAGAGTATTAACGTGTGACAGGAATGGCCCCAGCCTAGGTACACTGGGCGTTTCAGCCCAGCCCAGCATCCTGAAGTGGTGGGGTTCAGAGTGGGCCCCTAGGAGAGAGAGTGGGGCCCTGCAGCGAGTCCCCCAGAGGCCAGAGACACCTGTGTCTCCTGTGAGCACTTGCGTTCAGGCATTCCCTAGCTCCAGAGCCAGGCTGGCTTCCTAGCACTGCCTGGGCTTGACTCCAGTTTCATTTCTTACTAGCTGTGCAACCTTAACATCTCATACCCTCTCTGAGCCTTAGACTGTTTTTCTGTGCAATGGGCATAGCAACTCGGCTGGGTTTTTACGAGGATTAAGTTAGGCCGTGTGTTTACCCCGTGGGGTAAAAGGCCTTTAGGCTCAGAAAGTGTGTGATCAAGTTTTTCTTGTGTGACCCTCCCTCTGGTGGGAGGGGCTGGCCGGAGGTAGGGGCCCAGCATCGGGAGGGCATGAGGGCCGCTGGAAGGCTGGATGGGGGTCAGTCACCTCCTCGGCCGCAGCCTCACCTGCTCACTCTGGTTTCAGCTGGTCATGGCCTCCCTGTTCCACGTCTACAAGGCCCTGGAGGAGGAGATTGAGCGAAACAAGGAGAACCCAGTCTACACCCCTCTCTACTTCCCGGAAGAGCTGCACCGCATGCCCGCCTTAGAGCAGGACCTGGCCTTCTGGTTCGGGCCCCGCTGGCGGGAGACCGTCCCCTACACGCAGGCCACCCGGCTCTACGTGCAGCGACTCCACGAGGTGGGGCGCAGGGAGCCCGAGCTGCTGGTGGCCCACGCCTACACCCGCTACCTGGGCGACCTGTCCGGGGGCCAGGTCCTCAAGAAGATTGCTCAGAAGGCCTTGGACCTGCCCAGCTCCGGCGAGGGCCTGGCCTTCTTCACCTTCCCCAGCATCGCCAATGCCACCAAGTTCAAGCAGCTGTACCGCTCCCGCATGAACTCTCTGGAGATGACCCCCGAGGTCAGGCAGAAGGTCATCGAAGAGGCCAAGACCGCGTTCCTGCTCAACATTCAGGTGAGGGCCTGGCAGCCCAGGGGAGGCCTCCCCGCTGCTCCTCCAAGGGACATTTCTCCTGTGTCGGGGTGGGGGCGGCCAGGGGGGTGGAGGGTCACAGGACAAGGGTGCCAGGGTTCCAGTTCTGCCACTTAATGGCTGTGTGATCTTAGACAAATCCCTTCATCTCTCTGTACCTCAGTTTCCCCGTCTGTCAAAAGAGTATATAATTGTACCTACCTTGTAGAGTTGTGAGGGTTGAGTTTATACCAATAAAGTCCCCACCGCAGCGCCTAGCGCAGGGTCAGCCCTCTGCCATTAGCTGCTGTTCTCACGGGGCATGAGCATGACAGGGTAGTGCTCTGTGACAACGCTCTGTGACAGCACCCAAGTTGTCGTGCACTTGCCTGCAGCCAGGTTGGCACTGCGGGGGTTCTAGTGCCTCAGATGTGGCCTCTGACCTCGGGCCCCTCAGCCCTGGCAGGAAGGCAGGATGCATGTCTTTCCCCAGGTGCCTGGAGTCCGGGGCAGGGTGGGCTTTGGGGAGCCTGAAGGAGGAGTTCTTGGCAGAGCTGGGGCGTAGGTGTTCCGAGCAAGGGGGTGGGTGAGGTTCCTTCTAACTGGGATGTTGTAGGTCTGTCCCTGTCCCCCCAGCTGGAGGCACTAAGGGGACAGGGGCTCCTAGCTCATGGCCTCCTGGCTCCTGGCTCCCAGCACTAGTTACTGAGCTCCTCCCTTGTTCCCTAAACATCAACAAGCCAAACCTGGTCCATGGATCCTCCAAGAAAGTCGGTGTCTCTCAGAGAGGTCGAAGGACAGGCTTTGGAGCCAGAGCCCCATTGGAGGGCTGGCTGTTGCCTGGGTTATTCTGGGTCTGAGCCTTAACCTTGAGGAGCTACTGCTTCCTCGTGGGTACTGTGCACCCTGCTCTGCAAGGGGGCGCTCCAGAGGCTGCGGAAAGCAGGCTGCCCACGGCTCCGTAGACTCAGTGCCACGCATGAGATGGTGCTCTGCACAGGGGCATGAAGGGCATGAATGGTGACAGTAAGCCCTCCATCCAGGATGGGTGTTATTGGGGAGCAGGCAGAAGAGTCAAGTGCACTTGTAACATCTTCTCTTGTCAGGCCGGGTGAAAGGTACATGGACGGTCAATATTTTTCTCAGGGGTTTTGTTATGTCCTAACTATTGCATGACAAGACTGCAGATCACACTGTCAGCTGGGCTAGTGCGTCCCTCCCTGAGACAGGCATATGTTTCCGTCCTTCAGCTGTTTGAGGAGCTGCAGGAGCTGCTGTCCCAGAAAGCGGAGGACCAGAGCCCGTCACAGACAGCGGGCCTTCGCCGGCGGGCTGGCAGCAGGACTCAAGGTGAGGGCCTCCGAACGGCGCCCTGCTGGGCTGGAGGGGCACGTGGCTCACCTGCCCGGCTCCAGGATCTCTTGATCTTCTGTGTCCTGAATGTTTTAAATGAGAAGTGGGGTGCAGGCAAAAGGGCATAGGTCAGCCTTCATTCAGTGTGTGACTCTGGGCAGGCCCTGTAACCTCTCCCTACCTCAGTCTCCCCATCTCTGAAACCAAGGCCAGTGATTCTAGTTCGTTGGCTCAGAAGTGGAGACTTGTATACAGAGGACCCTTGGAAGTCAGGGGCCAAGTCTTACTCCCTTAATTTGGGTTCCTTTGGGGCCTTTTAATGATTCCTGAGCAGAGACCCCTGATGTGGGCAGGGAGTCTGGGACCATTTCTAGCTGTTACCCCACGACGGGACGCCAGGAAGACACGTAACCTCTGGGTTTGTGTCAGTCCCTCCCTCGTGTGCCTCAGAGAGGTGTCGAGGCTGTGTCTGTGCTGAGAGAATACCTGGGAAACTTCCAGAAAGTGCTCCACAGAAGGGACCCTCACCAAGCCTGTCACCTGGGAGTGGGGAGGTGAGGCTCACTGCCTGCCCGATGCCACTCTAACCCACCTGCCCTGTGGGCCCCATGTGCCAGGACCACATGGACCCGGTTAGGACTGTGCCTGGGAGCGGTGGAAGGTGGCCAGTCCTGGTGGGATGCCGAGACGGTGCCCTAATGCACCAGTCCTCAAAGCGCAGTCCTTGGACTACCCCTGGAGGGCGTGGTCTCACAAGGTGGGCTGGCTGACAGGGGAAGAATAGACAGCTTAGAGAAGTAGTAAGCTCCCTGTCTTTGGAGGTATTCAAGCAGTGGCTAGAGGGCCACGTGTTTGTGTTCTAGCAGAATCCTGGCATCCAGGGGGATTGTACCAGACTGCTGACTTCCCTCTGTGGGGTTTTTCTGTGAAGCAGACACCCCCCCCTCTGTCCACCTGTTGTTGACATTGACCCCCTTTCTCTTTCAGACTTGACTCCGGTGGAGACTCCCAGAGGGAAGCCCCAGCCCAGTGTCTTCTCCCAGGCACCGCTCATCCGATGGGTGCTCACACTCAGCTTCTTGGTGGCAACGGTCGCCATGGGGCTTTATGCCATGTGAATGCATGTGTGTTGGTGCCTGGGGCCGTGGACTCTGTCCAGCGGAGAGCCCTCTTTCCAGAGAGGGAAAATCTCGTGGCTGACTTCCTTCCCTGGGGCGTGGGGAGCTGTTAGCTCCTCCCCGTCCCCCCACGTCCCTCTGTCTCTGGCACGGAAGGAGTCTGCGGCACCCTCCCAACTAAAAGCACATCCAGCCAATGACCTGAACTTCCAGAGTGGGACGAGGGGTCCTGCCGGGCCCTCAGAACACCCCTCCCCTGTTCCTGCAGCAGAGCCCAGAAGATGTGGCCAGAAGTAGCAACCGTCCTGAACCTCCAAGCGCCCTGGGTTCTCGGTCTCCTTGTTGACATGCGGTGACCGCTTTCCCTGTGGGCCATGACGATTTTCATATAAATGTGCAAGATGTTTTGTGTTGTGTTTGTCTTGTTTTTGTTGGAGCTATTTTTTGTTCCCGGCTCAGCCTGACTGAAATATTTTGTTGTGTTCTGTTCTGTTTTTATATAGCAGGGTTGGGGTGGGTTTTTTGGGGGGGGGGGGGTGGGGACTGGGAGGTGTTTAACAGCACTGTGGCCTTGGTCTCTAACTTTGATGTGAAATAATAAATTGCTTTGACTGATAGTAACTTGAAGTGCTATTCTTGTGCTCGGTGACCCTTGGGGAACTGATATTTTCCTCACTTGTTACTTGAATGGTGGGGAGAAGGGATGAAGGTGTGGGTGGCAGGGGCCCATTTGGATGTTTTCTATTCTGAGAATAGTGTTGTGGGGGGGTGAGCTTTAAGCAGTTGGTGGGCAAATCTTTGTGGTGAACCCTGCTTGATATAACACTCGCCTTTACTGTGGCTCGGACTGCCCTGTTAGGCTGAAATGAGCAGGTTCTGAGATAAAATCTGAGTCCTGTACTGTGAATCTTAGGGATTGGGGTGCAATCCCTGAGTTGAACTCCCTGCTACTCTGCTTTGTAGGTCTGCCTTTAAGGTTAGTTATTCACCTCTCTGAGGGCTCAGTTCTGTTACCTGTTACCTGTCACATGAATACAGTGAGACCTGCCTCACCTACTTGTCTTGAGAAGCAAATGAGATGCATGTAAAATGCCAACGTTGGACATCAGCTCCTGTTATGAAACGAGGGCGATCAGGGTTTTGTGTTCTTGCTCAGTGATCCTTGTACTGCAAGTCCCTCACCTGTGTTCTCATTAGTTCTCACAGCAAATCTGTGAGAAGTGCTAGCATGCTGAGGGTTAGGAAGAGTTTAAAGCAGGTCTGTCCAGCTCCATCCATAACCCGAGTCTTCTTAAATCACAAAAGCCACTGGAATATTTAAAATGCAGCCTTCCAGAGACTTCCGGCCAACGTGGCGGGTAAGTAAACGCGGTCTCGCGTCCCCCACAACCACATCAAAGTTACAACTAAACTACAGAACAACCATTCAGAACCGCCTGACATCAAGCTGAACGGAAGTCCTACAACTGCGGAATTAAAGCAGCAGCCACATGGAGACTGGGAGGAGGGCGGAGGGGACGGGCTGGTCCCACACCCACGTGTGGCAGATAAAAATCAGGACACTTCGGCTAGGAAGGTCCTCCCTGAGGACTGAGGGGTCCCCGTCCCACACCAGGTGCCCCGCTCAGGGTTCCAGTGCCAGGAAGAGACTCCCCATCACTTCTGGCTGGAAAACCAGCGGGAACTGAGGCTCAGGGAGGCTGAGGCGGCTGGAGCCCCAGGCAGCTCCTTAAAGGGCCCGCGCACAGACTTATCGGACTCTCTCCCTCTAAGCTTGGAGGGGAGGCAGCTCTAGGGGCGTCAGAGACACACAGGGAAGAACTGAGCTGTTTAGCATTGGAGCGAGGGCTGGAGAGGGGGCTTTCTCCAGGACAGACGTGCTGTCAGAGGCCATTGTTCCTTTGGTGAGTCCTTCCCCGGGGCGGCAGACAGCCGCCATGTCTGGGACTCCAGCAACCAGGCTCACACTGGTAGCCCCGCCTGGTGGTTCCCTGAGGCCCCGCCCCACCCAACTTTCAGGCCCACCCAAGCTGTTGCCACTTGCTTTACCATAGGATTGGCCTGTCTTGGGTCCTGCTTCAGGTTTTCCTAAATTCTTTCTAATGAGCAGCATCTGGTCTCAGATAGCCCCATACCTCTTGTTAAGTAATATACTGAAACAAACACAGGGAGGCAGCCAAAATAAGGAGACAGAGAAACAGGTCCCAAATGAAAGAACAGAACAAAACCCCAGGAAAAGAACTAAGCGAAATGGAGATAAGCAACCTAACAGATGCTGAGTTCAAAACACTGCTTATAAGGATGCTCAATGAACTTAGAACCTCAGTGAACTTAGTGAGGGCCTCAAGAGCATAAAAAAGGGCCAGTCAGAAATGAAGGAGGCACTAACTGAAATAAAGAATAATTTACACAGATTCAATAGTAGAGTAGGTAAAGCCAAGAAGCAAACCATTGATTTGGAATATAAGGAAGCAAAAAACACCCAATCAGAACAGCAAAAAGAAAAAAGAATCCAAAAAAATGATGATAGTGTAAGGAGCCTCTGGGACAACTTTAAGTGTGCCAACATTCACATCTTGGGGGTACCAGAAGGAGAAGAGAGAGAACAAGAAATCGAAAATCTATTTGAAACAATAATGGCAGAAAACTTCCCTAACTTGTTGAAGGAAACAGACATACAAGTCCGGGAAGCACAGAGTCCCAAACGAGTTGAACCCCAAAAGGCCCACAGCAAGACACATTATCATCAAAATGCAAAAGGTTCAAGACAAAGAGAGAATCTTAAAAGCAGCAAGAGAAAAGCAGTTACCTACCTACAAGGGAGTTCCCCTAAGACTATCAGCTGATTTCTCAAAAGAAACTTTGCAGGCCCGAAGGGAGTGGCAAGAAATATTCAGAGTGATGAAAAGCAAGAACCTACAACCAAGATTACTCTATCCTGCAAAGCTGTCATTTAGAATTGATGGCCATATTGTGCTGGCATGTTGATAACCCCATAATCGATGATTGGTAAGTTATTGTGCTGCTCCATAATTGATGGTTGGGAAAGTCACTGTGTGCCCTCTAGCTGAACCTGTTTAGTCAAAATAACCTCAGTAAATTGGAATACTCTCTGAACCAAGAAATTGTGGGGAGTCAGCTACGTGTCTGACAGAGTCCACAGAGCCTGGAGGTCTTGAGTCAGAGACTCGACCTCCCCCACAATCTCAAGGAATTGGGCTTGCATTGTGTTTGTGCAGCTCAGGTCTAAGTGTGACCCAATGTTCCTTGAAATACCTGAAATACCTGGTGTACCTGGGTGTTCCTGTTATCCGTAAGGCAAACTAATTCTATACAGCATTGCTGTGGCCCTGGGCATTACATCAAGAAGGCCCTATTTGCTGTCAGGTATAAAGGCGTGTGATAAAGCATGTCGGGCTGATTCTGAAGACTCTGTCACAGGGTGTTCGGAATCAGGCGCTGGCCGGCTAATACACGGCTCTTACTTGGACTTCAATTCTCTAGTGGTTTCTCTTCGACTCTGTCACACCATGACATTTGGAGGCCCCAGAGCTGGTCTCTGAGAACTTGGGGTCCGTCACCAGCCGGCTTTGCTCTCTGTTTGGCTTTAATTTGGCTCTGGTGGCCTCTCGGTTCTCTTGAGCCACAACAATATAAAGAGTTTCCCAGACAAGGAAAAGCTAAAGGAGTTCATTACCACCAAACCATTATTATATGAAATGTTGAAGGGTCTTCTTGAAGAAAAAGATAAAAAATATGAACAAACAAAATGGCAATGAATACATAGCTATCAACAATTGAATCTACAAACAAAATGAACAGGCAGAACAGAAACATTCTCATAGATACAGAGAACATTCTGTTGGTTGCCAGATGGGAGAGGGGTTGGAGGAATGGGTGAAAAAGGTGAAGGGATTAAGAAGTACAAATTGGGCCCTGGCCGGTTTGGCTCAGCGGTTGGAGCGTCGGCCTGCGGTACAGAGAGACCCGGGTTCGGTTCCCGCTAAGGGCACGTACCTCGGTTGCAGTTTGTCCCGGCCCTGGTTGGTCGTGCAGGTGGCAGCCACTCGATGTGTCCCTTCACATTGATGTTTCTCTCTCTCTCTCTTCCTCTCTCTCCCTCCTGCTTTATCTGTACAAAAAATGGAAAAATGTCTCGGGTGAGGATAAAAAAAAAAAAAAAAGAAGTACAAATTGGTTGCTAGACTGACAAACCTCAAAGGGAAGGGGGTTGGAGGGTGGGAAGAAATAAACCAAAGAACTTATATGCATAACCAATGGACACAGACAACAGTGTGGGAAAAGGCGGGAGGGGGGTGGGAGTGGGGAGGAGGGGGTCAATGGGGGAAAAATGAGGAACATCTGTAATACATTCAACAATAAAGATAAGTTTAAAAAAATAAAAAAATAAATGCAGCCTTCCAATCTGGGAAAGGGAAAACCATTTGCTGAAGGTATATTTGGGAGCGCAGGGGACAAGGTGTTTCCTTAGACAGCTAGTACGCGAGGACTGGGAGTCAGGAGGTCCTTTGTCCCTAGTCTTGGCTTTGTCACTGTCTGGAACTTTGGACAAGTCACTTCAAGTTTCCTTTTGTTTACTGGCAAAATGAGAACAATATACCTACCTCCCACAGCTGGTGGGAGGGCCCAGCCGTGTCCAAACACCAGTCTGTGGGTGATGGCATCAGAAGCCCCTCCCCGGAAATCCTGGGCCCCAAACCTGGGGCTGGAGTCTGGAATCTGGAATCCTGTTTATGGCAAACTCTCCGGGGGAGTCCAAAGTGCAACCAGGCCCAGGAGCCCGTGTATGAGATGTGTATGCGAACAGCAGGCAGCCCAGCAGCCGGTTTTCAGTGTTCCGTGAAAGGGGCACGGGTATTCATTGTTTGCCGCGACAAAGACAGGAAGGGAGGAAAGGGAGAGAGAAAACCATCTTGAACTGTTCTAAAAGGAAAATGAATAATTTGTATTCTCTTCACACTATGGAAAAGTTAGGTAGTTCTTCATTAGAATGGGTTCAATCTACGCGTCCATGAAGTATCAAGGAGAAAAGCCCGTTTCAGATCCATTTAATGTACTCTTTATATATTGTAAAAATCCACATTTTAAACGCTCCCCATACATATGTGTGTGTGAATGTGGCTAAGAGAATAAAAAGTTCTTTCTAGTTCGTGTTGGGGGATGGGAATGAAAAAGGGGGATTATGCAGCGTTTTTGCCAGATCTTCTTATTTTTCAAGCGAGGTTGGGAATCTGACCATGAATTTCCCCAAATTTTACGCATGTCCAAATAATTTAAACTCTTCAATAAAAAATAAAAACAAAAAACACATCACCACCGAGGCCTATGAAAACGTCGATTCCAAGTTTGGGGCGACTTTGGTCCCAGATGCATCAGGAGACCAGAGGTGACCTGTCTGAGGACTCCCGCCTTCTCAAGGGGGTGTCAGGAGAACTACGGAGCAGGTGTGCAGGTGGCTCCTCCACCCCTAGGGGGCGGTGGGTTCG